CGCGCGGCTCCGGTGCAGGCTGCGCTTCGCCTTCCCCAGCGAGCGAAGGAACCAGCGAAGGAGGGGCCGCCGCGGCCCACTCCTGCCCGGCCGCTGCTGCCCGGGTCGCCCTGCCCGCCCTGCCGACACCGCTGGGATCGCGGAGGCTGCAGCGTTGCTCAGGGCTCCGGCGAAGTTGACCGAGCCTCTGCGGCACGATCCCGCGTCTGGATTGCGCGAAGCGGGCCGAGCCTTCTCCTCCTTGCCCAACCCTGGCCGCCTCCTGCCAGCGCTACTTCCCCATCGGGCTATTGTTAACTGATCGTTTCTGGTGGCGAGCCTTCCTCGAAACTTAAAAAGAAAAAAAAAAAAGAAAGAAAAACAGAAAAAAAAAGACAGAAAGAAAAGTGCTGGATTTCGTTTCCCCACCCACCCCCTGGCTGGAGCTGAGGAATCGCAGCGCACGTCTGGATAGCCGGGTGAAGCCCGCCCTCATCCCCTTCCGACACCAAAGTGCTGCTTACTCCTCTCCAAAGTGCCATGTCTGAACTGTGAATGGGAAGAAGCGGCCCCTGAAACGTGCACCTGTGCGCCCGCCCGGCGCTGCCCATCCCGGCCACCTTTCTCTGGCCCCAGCAGCGAGCAGAAGCAAGTCCCCCGCCACCACCACCACCCCATCCCACATTTGGATGTCTTCCGTGGAAACTGCTTCTCCGAGGCTGGATTTGGGGGAGGAATACTAGACTTGGAGGAGTCTGCGCGCTCCTCGCTTCCCCGCGCCTCGCGGTCGCCGCTAGTTCACCGCGCAGTCCCCGAGCTCGCTCCCCACCCCACCCACTTCCTGTGCTCGCCCGGGGGGCGTGTGCGCCAGGCGGCCCGAGTTCTGGGAAGTTGTGGCCGTCGAGGATGGGGGTCTGTGGGTACCTGTTCCTGCCCTGGAAGTGCCTCGTGGTCGTGTCTCTCAGGCTGCTGTTCCTTGTACCCACAGGAGTGCCCGTGCGCAGCGGAGATGCCACCTTCCCCAAAGCGATGGACAACGTGACGGTCCGGCAGGGGGAGAGCGCCACCCTCAGGTAGGGAGCTGCCATTTTACGAATTGGTGAATTGTGTGGGCTGGGGGAGAGGGGAAAGGGGGTGCTGGAGTGTGCGCGGGAGCACGCTGGGGCTAGCAGAGAGATCGCTGGTTCCCTGGGTTGCGCGGTTCGTGGATAATGCTGGGTGCTCGGCCTGGGATGTAATATGGCAGGCATAGGGAGACGCTCTGAGGTGCGCAGTTTTCCTCAAACTGGCCTTTCTGAGTGAGGGATTTGGTCAGGGTGAGGGGTGGCTGGGTTCAGCGGTGGTGGTGGTGGTGGTTGTGGTTCTGAGACTAAGTGCCAGTGGTCCTGGTGCTGTCTGTGCCTGAGCCTGGTGGCCGTTGTGACTGGAGGCCTGGCTGAGACTCAGCATGAACGTTGTTCTCTGAAGTTAATGAGTCCCAAAGGAGCTGTCTGGCTTGGTGTGAATGTCCTCACTCTACCCAGGCCATGGGGATTTGCCAGCCAGGACTCCTGAGATCTGCAGAGTCTCTGTGTGTCTGGGCCTGTACTGTACCAGGGCTTTCCTAGCTGCTTTGGTGCCATGAGCTGGTGGACAGAGAAAGATGCTTTCTCCTTCTCAAAGGAGGCTTTCTGAAGCCAAAGTCAGGGAGTCTGATTTGACCATGCAAAATGTCATTTAGTCTGGTGAATCCGTGTTCTTTCCATTCCTGCTGTTCACCAAAGCAGTACATATGCAAAACTCACCAGGGAACAGAAACTAGGCTTCAGTGTTATGTGGGTCTGGATTGGTTTCTGGAGCGAAGGCTTGCAGATTCTGGGGAAGGAGGAGGAGAAGAATAATCTTGGCTATGCGCTTGTAAAGGAGGATGATTCTATCTTCCTGATTACCTTGCTATATGGAAACCCTTCACTCCATTTCCTGTGTGGAAGAACACAGGAGTGACTGTTATGGGAAATCTTCCTCTCTGGAAATGTTTAAGGGAGTAAGCATTGGGCGGAAAGGGGAGGAGGGGGGAATGTTTAAGGCAGTAAGCATTGGGCGGAAAGGAGAGGGGAAAGAAGTTTTAAAGCTTCATTTTACTGCTTTTCTTTTGACTTAATATGTTAGTTTTTTCCATAAAGTTGTCAAAACTGGGCAATGGAATAGGCCACAGAGCACATGACAATATTCTCATTCTTTGAATATGAAGATTCTTCGGATGACAAGATTGTAGTTGGTATCTATGGTTTTTGTCCTCTGGTTACTGTTCTTGTCAGCTGACATTGGATGAGTTTGTGACCTGTGTACTTAAGATGAGTCCTATAGGAAACAAATTAGAAAGGGGGCATTGGAGAGACAGAGTTGGACTGTGAGGACACTACATCCCCAAAGTGTGACTTAACGGAGCTACATGATGTTGCAGCTATCCCAAGATCCTTTATATTTGGGTGCCAACCCTCAGGGCCTTGCTGAACTAGTCACTGGTCCAGGAAGTTCACCTTTTCAACTTAGCTCTTTAGAGACTAATTTAGGCTAAGGTAAAACATCTAATTGTCACTTCTTCAGAATGACTATGCATCTGCTTTTGTACAGGGATCTCATGGGAGCTGCAAGTATGCAGCGATTTCAGACTACTTACACAGAAAAACAGAAACGAACCTCTAAAGTAATATGGTCAAAGAAATTGAATGTTCTCTGGATGCCTCCTTTGTCCCTAACCCTTGACTACAGGAAGCCCACCAAGGACAATGTAGAGGCTTTCTCAAGTGGAGAATATTTTAGACAAAAATAGATTTTTCCACCCAAGGAGAAGTAGAAGTTGGTTATCTCTGCAGAGATTTGAGATAAATAAATAGTAAATGGAACTTGACAGGGACTCTCACATTATAGGGAAAATATGAGGAAAGATTAGCTACTATCTGGTCTCCAAAAGAAAGCACCCCCCGCCAGGCTCATGAGAAACTGGACATTTCTGGATGAGTTCAGCAGATTCTGAGCCATGGGACAGGCCTGGGCTTGGAGCAGCTTCTTTTTCAGAACTTATTATTGTGTACTAGCTAGCTTCTCTTCCTTTATCCTTCCTTCCATGCTTCCTATTTTTCCCTCACTCTGGGGTTCCTTTCCATGACTTTTGGACAATGTTTGTATATATTTTCATGTGTGTGTTTCATACAGCAGTCTTGTTAGAGTAGAGATGGAGGAATGAGATTTTGTTGGGCTTCTGTTCTAGACTCTAGAATTGACCTCAGTCCAGCCATGCATAGAAACACCCTCCCAAGACACCTCCTGACATTTGGTGTCAGCCTAAGGGCTTGAATGTCTTCCTTATATGCAGAAGAAGACCATCTCAGTGGAGAAAGCCCTACAGGACATTCTAATTGACACCAGCTGTTGGCCAAGGCCTGCTTTAGGATGTGAAGAGTTCCAGGTATACCAGGCAACCTGTGTATAAGGCATTCATGCCTGTGGGGTAGTCTCCTTGTTCTTCTTAGACTGTTATGTTATAGAACAAGGAAAGGATGCACTGGTTGAGGTCCACTTTGGTGAAGTGGAGGCCTTAAACTAAACTTAAAAGTGGCACATAATGTGCAGGCAGGCCAATTAGAATTGCAGCATGCATTTTGTGTGCATAAAAATCACTGGAATTTGCACATCACATGATGCTACATTGCAACAATCCAGTCTTTATGCCTCTGGGCTATCTTATTTTTTTTTCTTATTGTGTGTGGAAGACAGGTTTTTCATCCTCCTCCTTCCTAACTTCCCTCCTCCCTCCTTCCTAACTTCCTCCTCCCTCTCTTTGTTGCCTAATGATGTATGCATAACCAATATAAGAAACTATAACTTGTAAAAGCCTGAGCACCTCTGCTTTGGCCTAGATGACCCTAAACCACCATGCTGTGGGGTTGTAGTTTTCTTAGTAACCAGCAGAGGCCCTTTTGCTCTAGTTTCATTTATTCTGCTTTGTTCTTACCAGTTTCATTTCTTTGAGGATCTTTTTTAGGCCCCAAAGAATAAATGACTTGGTAGCTGATTCTAATTTGAGGGAATTTTGAAAGAATGCCTTATTTTATCCAGGTTGCTCATATATATATATGATCTTTGTTGGAGATACAAGGGAATCTTTCACCTAACATAGCTTTCACAATCAGAAAAGAAATGCACATATTTTGCAACCTCCCACCATTTCTCCCCTCTTGCAGTTATTCTATGACTATATATGTATATACACATATATACACACATATATACATATATACAGACATTTTTGTGCACATATGCATACATACATACACATATGCATATAGATATGTATATGTATACACTAGGGTTTTGAACGAACTAGGGTTTTGGACTTTGTGCTAACTTATCTGTCTTGCTTATCTGGCACATTACTATTTGAGCTATGCTTCCAACCCTGCCTTTTGCTGTTTTTCTGGAGATGGTATCTTGGTGAACTTTTCTGATTAGGCTGGCTTTGAACTATGATTTTCTAGATTGTAGCCTCCTGAGTGGATAGGATTACTGATATATACCTCTACCTCTGGCACCTGGCTCTATATGCATATTTTCAAGAAACAAAATATGAAAACAGTTAAGAATTATTTAGGGCTCATTATGTGTTAAGGAGTATTATATCTGGACTATGCAAGGATTCATGAATGTATAAGTTCTTTATATAAGATTTTGTATATGATTTATAATGATCCATATATAGTATCCTACTCATCACTAATCACATAGTATTATCTTTTAACTCTAATACTATGTTACAATTGATATTAATAGCCCCATTTTAGAGATGAGTCAATGGAGGCATAATGAATTCATATCACCTCATTGAAGTAGCACAAATAAAGCAGCTTTGAAGCTAGATTAAATGCTAATAATAATGTTAACAAGATGAAAGTTTCTATTTTTATGGGCATATTATTATTTAACATTTTATATATATACTTTCTGAAATAAGCTTAATTATTACTCATTTTTTTAGATGAAGTAGCTGAGGTCTAGAGAGGAAAATTTAGACAAGAGCAATTGGCAAGGCTAGAGTTCCAGTTCCCTCTGCTTGATTTTGCAGTCCAAGATAACTCAGAACCCACTGTTCTGTGTTCCCCTAATTCCTCAGTGGTACTCAAATAGAAATATTTAACTCTGCCTTTCTTGGTGTGGCCTGGGAGAAGATCTTACAGAGTAAAGATCATCCCTTGCCCTGTCATGAGCCCTGTATACTGGCAGGTATTTACTGAACAGGTGACTGAAAACAAATTAAAAGTCTCCCCCACCCTATGTTCAGTTGAACTCCTTACCACATTTCTTTGTCTCTTTATTTTGCAATTCAACTGTGGTCACCCAATGACAATAAATGGAGTGGTTCTTTCAGAAAGGGCACTGGGCTGGGGGTTGTGGCATGGCAAGGCAGGGGGTATGGAATTATGCTCACCTCTAAAAGCCAGGCTGTGGACAGGAAGATAATCAAGATGGTGAGGCCAAGTGTGTTCATTAATGCATGGGTGGTCTACAGTTACTATGCATGGCCTGAGCACTCTTGGTGGTCGAGTTTCTGTGGGCAGGAATTTGTCCTTGTTGGAAGGAAAGGATAAGCTACTGTAAGCTTGAGGTGGCCAACTGTGTGTGAGAGACTAAGGTAGAGACCTTCATTAAGTGTTGGCCCCACTAGTCAGTAATTCTGCTTAATACATTTCATGTCTCTGAGATTCCCTAACTAAGAAAGGGGATTATTTCCTGTATGCTACATGAATCGAGAGCTGAACTCTTCCTTCTGCCATGTGTCTAGACAGTAGGTTCTGCCACCGAACTGAATTTTTCTAAGATGAGTTAAAAATAAAAGAAGTCTTGAAATACATGCGATATGAAGGCTGAGTCTTGATCTAGCACCCGTGGAATAGCAGAGAATTTGATGGTCTTAGACTTGTATGTACCCACAGAGACTTCTTCAGATTTAGGAAGTTGTGTGTCTACACATAAAGGACTTTCTTTCAATTTTTAATTTTTGATGGTCATGGGATTGAACTCAGGGCCCGAGTACTGT